GCAGGGAAACTATAAGCATATAATGTAAATCTACAAAAGACCTTCTGCTCTGGATATTCTACAATGAATTGTCAACAAGTAATTCAGCGATTAGAAAGGCAGTGTGGGCAGAAGGCGCTTTTTGAGAAACTACATACACTTACGTGTATGAAGTAGTCTGCAAATTTATTATTTTGATGGATTTGGAGATATCGTCGGAATACACAGTATCAACGAGGTGTTTGTTAATTGCGTTTTGTAAATATTTGCATATCTTAAGTCATACACGAAAGAATATCAATATTCAAGTATTGGTTTGTAGGGATTCGATTGATTTGTTACAGGATTCCATCATGAGCTGACATTGATTAGAGAACCATTGGAAAACCAGGTGGGAGTACTGGACAGCTGTTTCTTCAGTCTAGTTTGGAACTCTTCATCAGTGCGCATCCACCACCGCTAGGGTTCGAACCCAGGACCTTTTGGGAAGTTGTGACCAGTAGGTCGCGTGTGGGGACAAATACCCGTCGAAGACATTGGGTAGCAGTGGAGCTATGTCATGAACAGGGCCACTGGATCGGGTCCCAGTGGCTTAGTGGTCTACGAAATTGCCAGACTTGTGACCGGAAGGTTCTGGTTTCGAGCCAGGTCTGTGGTGGGTGCGTGCTGATGAAGAGTCCCAAACTAGAAAGAAATAGTTCTTCAGTACTCCCTGAAGGTTTTCCAATGGTTCTCTAACCGATGTCAGATCATGATGAAATACCAATTTTATTACGAATTTCAAATATTTTCAACTAAACTTATCAATGCCAAAAGAGATTAGAAGCAATCCATCACTACTTTGGAAACTGCATTTTGATTCTGCTAACGTGGATCGCGTATTCGTCCATATTCGTGAGCTTAATTGTCTTATGAATTATAATATCTTGTTGGATTGTTACATAACTTTATAGGCAATCAATGTTTATTGTTATTTCTATCTCTTCATACCGCTTCCCTACAATATTTTTACTTTGCAATGCATATAAATTGATTATGACTTGAACCTTTTAGATTAGACACTAGTCAGTAACTAGTGTAATGTGTCTAGTCCTATCTTTGGTGCAGACTGAATTCTGTCTATACCTATTCGATTTCGAGTATCAGGGAGACGCCTAGCGATTGTGATATTCATAAATGACTTTACTGTTATTTGAGCCAATCAGTTGTGCACCAGTAGTTCAATGATCAGATGCTTGCCAGCATAGGACAGGTCTGGACTCAAGCCCAGCGCTATACCTCCCCCAGTTTACAAGCCAACATAGGTAGTAAGGAAAAGCGAACCACCGCACCCCCAGGGAGAAAACAATATCACCGATAGTGAAACTTCAAAGATTATGAGGCCCAAATATATATTCCATATTTTTATTGTGCGTTGAACTTTCTTTACCAGTTTGATTGTTTTTGAGGAGTAGGGTAGCTGGCCCTTCCTCTTTATCAGGGGGTGGTGGAACTGGCTAGTAAACTAGGCTAAGTTTCGCATCGACTTCGAAAAGACCTTCACAAGACAGCGTTGACGGAGAAGTATATTGAAAACTGCTGCAACACTATGGCGTGCAGTACTCCAAGCCTTTATCAACCTCATTCAACAGCTGGCTATATGACAGTGTCACGTGTCAGGTGAGGCGTTCGTAGTGAATACAGGAGTAAGACAAGGCTGGCTGCCTATCATCACCTGATTGTGGTGGACTAGGTTATACGGAATAGCGCGCGCGGGGAGCGAGAAGACAGGAATATGCTGGACTGATAAGAAGACTCTATAAGATCTGGATTTCGCAGATGATATATGTCCAATGTCAAACAAACTCGAAGACCAACGGACAAAAGCGACAAACTGACAGAAGAAGCAGCCAGAGAAGACAGCACTCCAAGTGAACACAGAGAAAACGGAGGTGATCAAGGTAACCATCCAACCAACAAACAGCAACAATCACTATCAACTGTAGCAGCTTGACAGACATTACTGCCTCCATTTATCCTGCCAGGGGGCACGGTTTTAACCACAGACCGACAGATCAGACGAAGATGTCAAAGCCAGCCAGCCAGAATCAAAAAAATAAGATAAGCCTTCATCAATCTGAAACCAGTTAGAAAATCTTATTCTTCACTCAGCCAGCATAAACAACAAGATTCGGATTCTATTCAACACAAATGGGAAGTCAGTCAGTTCTCCTATATGGGTCAGAAACTTGCAATGTGCGTGTGTCACGAAAAGGATTTCCAACAGCCTGTTGCAGACTTTTAGCAACAGTTGCCACCTTTGCTAGCTGGCTCCATTCTGAAGATCAAATGGTCAGGCGATCGGTCAGAAAGAGATTAGCAAGAAGAAATTATAAATGGGAACAAACTAAGCAACTAAGGGCTGGTTGCTCAACACATATGTAGGAGAAAATGGAGATGGATTGATCGGGCATATATCACTGAGGAGACTGTCGAATTATATGGTGCTCAATGCAGGCCATCGCTCTTGTGGAATCCGTATGGGAAGCGTCGAGTGGGTCGTCAGTGCGAGGGTGACATAGAGTAGGTGAGGGACTGTGAGCATTCGTGGAGCCATCCAGCTGAAGAGGACAGCAGAAAATAGGAGAAAGTGGAGATGTGTTTTTGAAGCCCTACGTTTCACTCAAAAGACAAGGGAATAATAATAATGATAATAATATATTTCATTTGGAAGACAGGGAAATGCGGAAAAACTGCCATCCTAAATCCATAAAAAAGGACATTGGCCAAAATTATTTAAACATTTATTCTGTTGTAGCACAAAAAGTTGTTGAATTTCACGTTTGAAATATTTATTTACAAACACTATATGCAGCTTGTTTTAATTCTAAACAAGGAAATCTAATCGATGTTTCTCAAAATAAGTTACCATAACAACAACAACAACAATATTCAAGAGGTATATTAAAAAATCTCTCCTTTTACTATTTGAAGTATTACATTCTCGAGTATTTTAAACAAACAAACAAACAACAAAAATATCATGTCCAATATTAAAGGAAGCTGGTTACAAGTTGAATTTCTAAAGTTATATCACAAATGACACTTCAATGTGTCCAGTAAAAATGTTTACTGGACGAAAATAGGTAAATAACTATAAAGGCATGAACGAATTAGATAAGGATTATTTGTTGTACATATATACATATATATATATATATATATATATATATATATATCGATTTTTGGATTTTCGTCATGAAACAAGCCACCTAGCACGGTGTGCACATTGTGAACTTGACTGATAGAATTCAGTCTGCACCAACCAAACAAAAAGGACTAGACACACACACACACACACTATACTAGTAGCTACTAACTAATGTCCAATCAAAAATATTCAGTACCGTCCTACAGGAGATCAATCGCAAGCCCGAATACCTAGCTCATTGGCAACGTCTGTAACTAACTGCAGCACACTGAGTGACGCGGGTTTGAATCTCAGAAGGAGGGACATAAGTAGTTCCATCAAGGTTTGAAGATACGCCTTGGTGACTGACTGGTGAGTGCTGACAAGCACGAAACCTTGGTTCAACAAGGCTTCCTGCCGATTTACTCCCACCGTCTGATGCCAACAATTCACAGTGCACCGTGCTGGTATAGTGGCCACATAGCAAACTAGACTGATAGAATTCAGTCTGCACCAAACAAAGGACTACACACACACACACAATTACTCTAGTTACTGACTAGTGTCCATTCGAAAATGAACCAACATCAGTTAGAGAAGTCAGTGAGAACCAAGGAGTATTGGACAGTTGTTTCATCCTCTTAAGGGATGCTTTAACATTCCGTAGTCATGACCCCACTTACCAGGGATTCAACCCGGGATCTTCAGGTTACGAGACCAAGCCAACTAATCGAAATTTTGATGGGCTTTTGTGCTCCGTTAGTCCAATCGATCCCGCTCTACTACTTTGACCTGAAAATCATTCCAGCAGAGTACTAGGTAACCTAAATTGTTTTGTTTTAAAGGCTCCACAGGATTGATCTTTTAACCGACAATGCTTATTTCTAATTGAGATTATGGGTTTGAATGCCAGCCACTTTTATTCCTGCCTGCATTGTTAATAATTCTCCGCCGTAGGGTTTCCGAAGTTCCTTCTTTGTATGGGAAGAAGTACTACTGATGATTTAAATCCCCTATTGTTGGTGTTGTCATTATCCTGTGCATGTTTGACATGCATGTCGTCATTAATATTATTATCATTATTATCACTATCACTACCATTATTATTATAGATTTCATTTTTATATTTCCCTACATACTTTCTGATTAATTTACCAGGGTAATTATCAATTAAGTTTCAAAGCTTCTCTTATATGCCTGACTTCCTGTCTTAAATTTTGCTTGTTAATACTTAGATTTTGTGACCTTATTACTTAAACATTTCACCAAGAGTAGAGGGAGCAGGATTAATACCGTCAGCTTTGTTTATCGAATCAACTGCGAACACGTGTAATAGGAATGAATGATTCAACACCTGTCCACTCACCCGGACATCTGGAAAATTCTACTACCCCTACCTAAGACGATAAATAGGAGAGAACAATGAAAACTATTAAAAAACTGAAGTTTCGAAGTCGTCTGATTACAATTGATAAAATGATTATGAACAGTAATAAATTTTGTTCGAAACCTTGTCATCTAGTAAATAATAATACTAATTCACTGTGTGTGTGACATATCTAATAAACAAACTAATACGGAAGAGCTGATAGACACTACTACTCAGCTACCCAGAGTGAGATAGACATAATGGGACTCGAACCCAGGACTTGTTGGATCACAATCACCTACAACTTACGACAGAGAACGAATTTGCAACAACAACAACATGAATAGTAATTAAATTTATTACAAAAAGCAATTATTGTTATTACTATTAACAGGGTCAGCGCAAAAATCAATGTACGTATTCATAATCTCCACACACACAGAGGCAAAAAAATAGAATTTTCTGGGAAAATATAACAAAATATTAAGACTGTTTGTTATTGAAGCTACCAGTCCAAATTGTATCGATATGCAACTTTTTTAACATTTCATCACGCATTGAAGAACTGCTATGCAATGCTTTAATTAGACAACTTAACTCAAACGCTGTAATGCGGGACTCTGTAGACAATGGTCCTTTTCCATCCATCCATAGGGCATCACGAATTATAGCCAATGATGAGACTGATAGAACACTGATAACTCCCTGCAGGCGTTGATATTCTGGACAACGTCGATGAAGTCGTGCTGTATTGGAGTTCTATTATATAAATATACATATCAATAAAACATCAGAAACTGGAATTAATAATATTAATTAAAAAGTATATTTTATTTTATTGTCATTATTATATATTAGAAACTATCAGTTCGTGCCACTTCAGTGCATGTTTACAAATCCGCTTGCTCCTGTGCAGTTAGTTATATTGTAACGACAGAAAACAAGGACCAGGCAACAGATCGTTTATTGAGAAAATCAACAGATATTTATAGATTTTTATGCACATGATTATTCGTTATTGTTAGCAGAGAAGCAACGTCTTCTGATTGGTTGTTTTCTTGCTGAAGTCTATTCTGTACCGCTTGTGACAGTTTCTTAGAAAGTTAAGCCATATATATATATATATATATATATATATATATCTGCGAATAGTATTTGCACACGTTAAGTCTACTGTGTCATTGGCTGGTGAGTTCCTCAATGTTAAGCTTTGTTATTGTCTTTTTTCTCATGACCCCGATTCAGGACGTAAACATTGACGTCTAGTTTTGTCTGCAATTTTGTCTTGCAGACAGCTCTCACCACAATATTAGCCACACAAAGTATACGCCTTCCAAAAGCACCTTGAAACATAATCCGGCATGGTTGCTTATCAAGAGGACAATGCATGAAATTAGCAACTGGTAAACTCACGCCAAACACACACACACAGTTTTGCCAAAGTCGTTTTCTAAGGTTATCTACAGAGTGAGACCTAATAGTACAATGAATGTTAGGCTTTGGCATTTGTTTATAGCGGAGGCTCTGGTGATTAGTCGGTGTTGCAGCCTCGAACTCTGTGTGAAGGGGTAGTATTTTTTTCCAGTGTCTTATTTCACCACCACAATAGTCTCGGTCTCTCTCTCTCTCTCTTCCAACGGTTCGCTGTCATTTTCAGTATGGATTTACTACTGTCCCTCTTACATATTCCTTTGGTACATTTTACTGAGTATTCGTCACTCACCATTTTCATAACTGGCGTGTGAACAGTCAACTACTTCGCTTCTCATAGAAACCACTTCCGATGGATGAGTAATTCTGGCAGTTATGTCACTAACCCTTTCCTCATTGATTTTACTCATTAACTGACTACTATTCCTTTTTTTGGTTAAAATATAAATACGATTGTACAGCCTCTGAAGGAAATTTTCTTCGCTGAATTGTCGTTTAGACTATAATTGTTGACCCCACTAAGGAATACGTAAGATATAAAACACAGAATTCCATGTAACAAGCAACTACTAACAGACTATATTTACTATTCCTAGAAGGAACCGCCTAGGAAATCATAACAGTAAAGATTCACTCATCTGATTATCCAAGAGAGACAGAGAGGGAAGGAGAGACATGGCAGCAAGGTTGTTGGTTGGCGAGTTCTAGTGTGACGAAGTTAGAACCATTATTATTTTTATTTTTATTGAAGCATAACGAAATGCGCCAAACTAAATCTCATTACTTTGTAGGAGACAGTTGGGATATGCTGCTCGGACGTCGAAATCGAAGCAGGTGGCTGTTGTCTTCAAGAACTACCCCTCCCACTCCCCAAGCCTTTGACTTGTAGTCTGATCTGCAAGGCAGTGGAGCACACATGGTCAGGAGCTACGGTCCCCCGTGGTTGGAAATCATCAAAATAGGTTTATAAGCTCTTCAATCCTTTCGGGTTCTGGAGCTCATGTCCACTAACCCGGTTATAATCGCTGGAGGTTCGTGCTTACCTGTTCACTTCTGTGAGGAACACTCCGCCTCGCGTAGACTTAACTAGCAGATGGTATAAACGCGCGGCTACATGTGAGCATTTCAAGAGGCAGCACTCTCAGTCATGTCAGATCTCATTTATGGAACTTCCAGCTTTGGCATTTGGAATCAGATACATGAGGAGTAAAGTTTTCTGTTATTTTTATTGTTATTATTGTTATTCTCATCATCCTTATTTTATTATCATTCGATTATTGCTTCCTAATGTGCGTCGGTGGCATAGCGGTTAGGCCACTCGCCGACCATACACATGGTCCGGGGCTCGATCCCCGGCCACCGACGCACTCCTTTACCTCGCTAAGCCAAAAATAATCCTGCTGAAGAGGAAAGGTTGGGCATGAGACTAGCAACCCCATCCTGTAAAATAAACACTGCCACAGAAACTTCAAGCCACTAGCTTGAAGCCCTATGTTCCACTGGGGGACGTGAAGGAAAAGAAAAAAAATGAGGAGTATAGATTTAGAGTTCGTTTAGATACGGTAAGATAATAGACTCTTAAAAAGATAATAATTTTATAAAGACACTTGATAAGTGCTATAGTCCTGGGTTCGAACCCCTGTGGTGGATGCGTACTGATGAAAGGTTCCAAACTAGGACGAAATATCTGTCCAGTACTCCACTACTGGTTTTCCAATGGTTCTCTAATAGATGTCAGCTCATGATGAAATCCTGTAACCAATCAATCAAATCCCTACAAAAACCAATACTTGAATAAGTCCTATAGTGTTGGATGACTGACTAATCGATAAAACGAAAATCCAGAACTTTATCCCCTATTATGTCACTGAATGTTGGAAAGTTACTTTAATAGACCCCCCACATTTATGAGTTAAGTAAGAAACAGAATTTTCATGCATGAGACAATGAGTCACACTCATTTTTCGTGTAATGAATGTGGTTAGGACTCTCGCCGACCATGCACATGGTCCGAGGTTCGATCCCCTGCCGACGCACACCCGATATCTATGGTCAGCCTGCAAAATTTGGGCTACCGATATCCATGCTGAAAATTCCATACTTGTACTGAAAACACGGTGTGACATCAAACTGCAATCAAAATAAATAAAAATAAAATATTCCCCTAGGTTGGCGTGCTTCAAAGTAGATTTGGTGGGATTTCAACCCAGCCGCATACAATTGAAACCTAAACCAATTGTTTTTAGGAAATTCCACATGCACACCTCTATCTACCGCCACCAGTCACAGTTTCTAATAAACAACACCTTCAGGTCAAATGTTCGTCATTGTTTTTGTTTCACTATAACTGCAGTAGTATTTAATAATACAATAATAATCACTTTATTCGAAAAAGCAATAACACACTATGCAAAATGGAATTTTCAGTGGCTTTTCTTCACACATATTGTAACAATTTAGCTACTTTTATGTGTAGACATAAAATTTGGAAAAATTATGATAAGAAATTGAATGTTGGTGGAAACATAATGAGCGTATAAGCAGACTGAATCATAGATAATACATGTAATAATAATAATAATTGATTAAAAATGCCCATTAAAATTTTCAAGAAAATGGATACTGAACAAAGAATACTCTTTTCGATAACCCTTCATCATCAGGCTCGACAGTTATACACACATTATAGTGAATGAATGAATTAGTGTTATAAACAACACTTAATTTTGTTTAAATAATATAGAATCAATAATATTGATAGGTTACAGTTCAATAGCATCAAAATAACAATAAACTGAATGTCAGAAGAATTAGGAAAGATAATATTACAAATTCATGAGTTCATAGTTTCTACTGAGGGCCAGGGCAGTAGTAGGGGCTGGACTTGTTTCTTTTGGACACAAAGCACTGGTTGTTTGAGGCGAATTGCAATAGCCTCTGCTGTTTGGAGCATGCAGTGCCCCTACTACTGCCCTGGCCCTCAGTGGAGACTATAAACTCATAAATTTGTACTATTACCTTTCCTAATTCTTCTGACATTCAGTTTATTTTATGTTGATGCTATTGAGCTGCAATCTATCAATATTATTGATTCGATGTTATTTAAACAGCATTAATGTTGTTCATAACACTAATTCATTCATTCACTGTTATGGATGGATATATAACTGTAGAGCCTGATGATGAAGGGGTTATCGAAAAGAGTACTCTTTGTTCCGTGTCTATTCTTTTGAAAATAATAATAATCTTTGCTTATACTTTGCAGTTCAGATTACTGAATGATTTAAAAAGTTTATATGTTCTTTTCTGACAATCTAGTCTCCCTCTTCACACACTAAACCCGTGCTAAACATGGTGGTATGGTAGGATTTTTATATTTGGTAGCCATATGAGCATAAATTCTTATGCAGTTTCTTCTGGTTTCAGCCCCCGGAAGAAATACAAGGCAAAATTCGAGAATAAAGAGGATGTTCAGCATCAGGCAAGATAACTTTAGCCAACTGCTTAAAAAGAATTAAAATGCCTATCGACAAGAACAATGTCAGTTAGTTGAGTCAAAGGCACACACACACACACACCACTAACCCTACTTGCAGTCTTCAGTGTTCTACGTAATATGATATAGTCTTTTTTGAGATGTACAGGGAAGAATAAGTCGGCAACAATCAAGAAAAATGAGCACAATACATGAATTAACAAATTGTAAGAGAAGAGGTTGAGTTATGCCGACAGAAAGCCTCAACTTCTTCCTCATTTAATAAATCAAACGAAAACGCTCCTCAGAAATCAACAGGATATGAAACAACCAACAGAGATTCCAAGAGAAACTGATACCGAGATAAAAGATATTCGATTCACTCCCTATGATCACAGTGTCGTCAATATTACGGCAATCGTAGGGCTGAATCAGTCTATGTAAGTGCTGTTCGCATCTGAACCTAAAATCAACAATATGACATTTAGATGGATTCAGTTTAAGACTATTTAGGTGGGGCCACTTGTTAACTTCAGATCAGAATCTGTTTATATAAGAACAATCCAATGCTCACAAACCAATGGGACAGAAATGGTTGGATCGTGGGTACATTTAATGGAATGGAGGGAGTACAGCCCATCTCGAGGGACACCAGTTTCCGCATTACCAAAGAAGTGGAACGATTTCTATTCAAAACAGTATGTTGTTATTTTCTACCCGAGAAATAAGAAAGACAACCAACCACCTTGTAACGCAGGAGACTCTCAATGTGTGCTTCAACTCAGCTTGCTTAGTAAAAGTACCCTAAAATTAGAGTCAAAACCAGCTGCAGCAGCAGCAGCAACAACAACAA